GCCGCAATTCAATTCTTCGACCCATTAAAATTGCACGGGCAACTTTAACTGCTTACAGTGTGGTTGCGAGCAAAAAAAAAAGAAAAGGTACGACTATAAACGGGGTCACCTAAAATTTCCAAAGAAAGAGAGAGAGTGTGTGAAGCGTTCACTTAGAAAATCGTTTTCAACGATCATCTCTCGGAGGCACGGGGCGTTAGAACAAAATTAAACGTGGGCGTGGGTGTAATTACGTTACCGGGCAAAATTCTAATTGCACGATAGTCTCGCGCTAAATTGAATTGTGTCACCCGCTGTACTTGAGCGATACCGAGCAGTAATGGTTCTAAGATCAAAGTGATGTAACCCGGACGAAAGCCCCGTTGCCCCGGTGAACGGAATTTGCAATTCGCTGAGGTAGGCGCGCGCGCGCACACGCCGCAAAATCACGTGGCCCACGTACCACAAACTAGGCCGGGTACATGGTTCCCGCCTCTGATCAACTGTCCTCTAAATCCCTCTGTGTGTGTACACCTCGCGCGCCTCGGTTATTTTCCGAGTGAAAATAATTCCGGGGGAAATTGTTCGAACGATTTGCAAGCTGCCCTTTTTTCTGTTTCGGTTTGTGCAATTTGAACCAATCTTTTTTGGAATATTTTCCGTATTTTTTTTTTTTTAGTTATTTATTTATTTTGTAAATGAACGATTTCAAATCGTGTGAAAATTCGAAAGAAATTTGACGAAAATGCAATTTATTTCAGGAATTTGTTGATTTTGGGTTTTATAAATTTTCTGAAATTGAAAATTTTTGTTTCTGATTTTTTAATGAAAATTTTTAATTTCTTTAAATTTTGTAAAATGACGGTATTTCTGGTTAAGACGAAGCTTTGTTTGCGACTTAAATTGACGTCTGTCGTAACTGAACTGTAATTCATACCGCGAGTGAAATTTGACGTTACGAAGCAAGGAATTAAGAGAATAACTCTGCGTTTCTCTTCTATACGGTGCTCTTCGTTGTTCAATTGTGAATGTAAATTTCCTTGAATTGTTCAGATCGCGGTTTAACAGGATAACTTAGAACAATCTAATAGTATAAAGCTACAATACACTCAGTAGAATAATCGAACTGTATGATTAACCTTATGTTAGTCTGGTGAATTTGGAATTCTTATTTTCTGTTTGCATTGCTTCCAAGCTCGCCGATGGATCTCAAGCTAACGGGAATTTAAAGCTAACAACGTGAGACAGATTAAGGAAATTATGGCGATCAGTTTGTCAAACTCCACAAACAATTATTCATTTTCCAAATGTCACTTGACAAAAACACTCTTCTCCCAAAAGTTCTATTCCTCCAACAGAATTAAGTACAAATACCAATACCCACTCACTGTCCTTTTCCCAAGAACATTAAGAACATCGCTATACCAACAGATCACGCGAGGAAACAATCCACAACAAGCTAATCCCATCAGCAGCCAGACAGTTTGCTAACCTCACCCTTCCACCTCGCTGCGCCCTAAACTCCGAACCCCTTCTTAACCGAACCTCTCGGCAAAACGCAAAAAAAAAAGAAGTCCAGCTGGGATAATTAAATATCTCCCCTATGAAATCTCAGGGGATCGATTTCTCGAGCGTCACACGCCGATGAATTCCCGCTCGAGTCGAGGATTGGCTCTCGTCCAAGAGCCCTGTGCACCCTCGATGCCAACGAACTCCTCCGCGAGAGAGACACTTTCAACCCCGCGTCGCGTTACACAAAACCGCGTAAGACACCCTGGTTCCAGGGCGAAGGAACACGCGAACTATAGCGTTGCGTTGAAACTGAAAAAAAAAAGGGGAGAAGAAAAGAAAAGAAGAATCACTCACCGAGCTGACATCGATCGCCTCCTCTGCCGAGAGGGCATTGACACCGTTGCCTGAAGGACCCTTGTTTCCGTCTCGGGACAACGTCGTTGCCTTCGAGATCCATGGCGATCGACGAGTCGTCCGACGCGTTCTCCGCGTCCTCGTCGAGAAGATCGACGTCGTCGTCGCGACTCTGCTCGATGTAACAGTTGCCGGCTGGCCCGCAGTCCAGGGAACAAGCCGGTTCCGTGCTCATTATACTCTCCATCGTGGATGGTAGCTTTTGTTCCAAATTAGGACCCTGAAACACGGTCGGACAATCGATGAGCCGCTGGTTAGGATTCGTGGTATTTTTTTCGACGGTTGCTCGGACGAAGATTAGAGAGGAACGGGAGGGTTGGTGAACGGAGGAGGACCTGTTGCACGCGTCGCGACGTTTTTAACCGGAAGAGCCCCGGCGAACGAGGCCGGAGGAAGTCCGTGGAAGCGAGCGAGGCTTTTTAAAACGACCGCGTTCCTATTCTTGTTTTCTCTTGCTTTTTTTTCGCTTACGGCCGGACGGGGGAAATGAGGTTAGGCGTCGGCAAGGAAACGCGGTTTTCGTGCTTTTGAAATTTGGATGAAGGTTAATTGGAATTAAGGGAGAGAGATCAGATAAACCGGGGGTTTTTAAGCTCTTTGTCTTCGGGGGAAATGTGGCAAATTGAGGTGTTTTAAAATGGAGGGATGTGGTCTTTTTTTTCGGACAGTTGTGTCTGGGTAAATTGGGAGGGTAATTAGCGGTGCTGTTAGGGGCTTCGTGATGCTTGAATTCGTAAACACTGAGGCACGTGTAGTAATTGTACTTTGAAAGATTTTAAATAAAACGATTGGGCAACTTTTTGTTTTAATGCACTTTGTATTTTAAGATTGTACGTAGAGTAGTCTTAATTTCACGAGTACGAAAGCAGGTCCTATCCGTATGACCCATTTATGGTCCTATCTCGACTTTGAGTCGAGATTTATTTAAATTTCAACTTTAGGCCTCTTTTACACTTGAAAAAAATTTGTATTTTTGCACTTACGTTTAAATTTATATCTTAGGCCTCTTTTACACTTTAAAAAAATTTGTATTTTTGCACTTACGTTTAAATTTCTACCTTAGGCCTCTTTTACACTTGAAAAAAATTTGTATTTTTGCACTTACGTTTAAATTTCTACCTTAGGCCTCTTTTACACTTGAAAAAAATTTGTATTTTTGCACTTACGTTTAAATTTCTACCTTAGGCCTCTTTTACACTTGAAAAAAATTTGTATTTTCGCACTTACGTTTAAATTTCAGCTTTAGGCCCCTTTCTCACTTAATTTTCATGACAACGTAAAATAAAGTTCAATGCAGTTCGATTATTATTTAAATTCTTCACGACTGCTTTAAACTGAAATAATCTACTCTACCCTTGTTTAAAGTCGTTTAAACACACTTTTTCCCAGAAATCGAGGGGAGCACTCTTTAAACCCAGCCTCGTTAAACGCAAACAGTGAATTAATGGTAAGAATACTTGCTTAAATTAGAGAACCGTGTTTCGAAATATTCAGTTAATGCACGCAGAGCCTTAATTACTTTAAGACCCCTATCTTCCACCTTCTCCCCTACCTATAACGCCATTACGGGCACCGACGCCGGTTTTTGCAACCCGGCAGAGAGAGAGCGCCTCGGTGAAAATAATTTTACTCTCTCCCTCTGACAAACCCCGCGGCATTTTCTCCGGCTCCACATGTATTACCCCCAAAGTCTCGCAGAGTCGAACGAAATTTCCGTACCGAACAATGACCGTCGAATACGGTTTTCAACCTACATATACATGTACATACAAGCTTTCGAGTGGATCGTAGCAGAGAATCACGCGACTGTACAACGTGTATATATATGTACACACAGAATATACCACATTCATTCGCGCCGCGATATTATACGAGAGAACACTGGAATCGAGATTGAAACTACATCGAGAAAATAACAGCAACAATTTTCCAATTATCTCGATAACTTTCGAGCCGTGCCGAGAGCGACAATATTCTACGCTTGCGTTTCGAGTTAATGAAAAAAAAAAAAGGGAAATAGAGAGAGAGAGAAAAGAGAGGAGCACGAGCAAACAGTGTTCTGAGAGGGGAGAAATGGAAAAACAAAAAACGGAGAAACACGTGTGGGATGAAAACGACTAGTTGACGAGGAATGATAATAAACAACGGTACGCGAAATTGCGTTCGAAAGCGTTTCCAGGCAAATCGAAGCTTGCCCGATGTCCGCTCGAATGGCTGCGCATCCGACGGCTGTTAGATCGATCATCGAGAGTTAGAAGAAAGAACGAGATGAACGCACGTTCGATGGGAAAAAGTTAAATCAGAGGCGCAAAAGAGTTTTTTCTACTTTCTGATTTAGGAACGGTGCTTGCGAGCTCACCGGAAGATATTGTGTACGAGAGATAGTAAAAAGGAGTTTGAAACAGAAGCGTGGAATGTTAATATTGAAAGAGTGAGAATGGGTTGAATTTCGCTCAACTTTTAACGATACTTTTTGTTACGATATAGAAGGTGTTCGAAAAGGTTTATGTTAAAATTTCAGCAATTTTTTATATAATTTTGTGTAACATTTGAAAAAAGTTTATTTCTTCTATTTCCAACTTCAACTTCAAATTCTACTTTTCTGACAGTATGAAAGTGAAGAATCGTTAAAAAAAGAACAAAGGGGACAAAAATATGCAGTATTTGTCGAAAGGATAAAAAAATATTCAATAAAACAAAAATGTCCCCAAAAATCGATCATTTGTAAATTACAAAATATTTTCATTAAGTCGAATGAAAATACTGCAGAAAAATTTAATTACAATTTTTGAAGAGAGAGAATTTAATTGAAAAATAGGCGAATCGTTGAAAAGCTCGGAAATATTAGTGTTGACTAATGAATTGGACGAATGGTACCATAATCGTTCAACGTCAAATCTGGTTCAAACTCCATATTAAATTCCTTCATACGTAAAAATTCCTCGCAACATACCTGAGACGTGGCTCGCAGCTCTACCCGATCGAGAGGAACGTTATTCTCTTCGCTGGTCTTGGTGGAATTCGTGGTAGAATTTTCTGAAGACGGGTCCAGGTGTATTGTAAAGGACGCGCCGCGCATGTAAAGGATGTCCTCGACTGCATCTTCGTCGTCGTCTGTGTCTTTGTTTAATTCGTCGTTTTCGAGGTCGTCGACTAGCTCGCCGAGCTCGCCTGTCGACGGTGACGTCGAATTCAGCTCTGAAACAGAATGCGTTTCTAAAAAACATTTGCTCTGTCAAAGGAAATATTTTTTTATGTAGAAAACCGACGATTCGGGGAAAAGTGAAACTTAATTGTGAAATATTGCTGTAGTTTTGAGAGATGTTTTTTCAAGTGGAAGAAATTTTCATTTCTTTGCAAAATTTGGACAGAACAACTCTTGGAAATTTTAGAAACTCTCGAAAATCTTAGAAACTCGAAAGTTTTAGGGGCTCAAAAATCTTAAAAACTGAAAAATTTTGGAAACTCAAGCGTTAGAGACTCTAAAATTTGAAAGACTGGAAAATCTTAGAAACCCTCGAAAATCTTCGGAATTACAAGAGAAAATTCGATAAACTTTCAAAGCAAAGAATTCCACTCAACTAAATTTCGAATATCTCACTTCAATAATTACCCCCAAAAATGAGCCAGAGTAATTTCACAGAAAACACCTCACACCATCGCAAAAATAAGAAGAACTAACGAAAGATTACGAAACTAAAGGTGTGAAATAAAGCAAAAGCTGAAACAAAAACACAAACAGAAACAATTCCACCTTCTTCCGAGCATCTCGACTTTAATTTCATCATTAACACTGAAACGTCAACGCAAACTTCACAGTGTACATTCGTCGCGGTCAAGAGTCCGCAAAAAGCAGCTACTTTCGACGAAAGAAGAGCGGAAGAGGAAAGAAACTCACGAGATATCCTGGGTGGCGCCATTTTCGGACCGAAGAAGTATTTCGTTACTCCAATAGTTAATTCTCGCTGATCTTAAGGCTGATTTACGAGCGCCTGGACTCGTAAACAAGCTTCAGCAACCCAATTCATTCGTAAGTTCGTCGCTGATATAAAATGCAAAGTGGCGAACTTCGCGGAACCTGCAACTTCGCTAGGTAGCTCACCCTGGAATCGCTGTAAGCGCTGAATCCCTCGCCGGATAATCGAGTTTTCGTTAATTGCCGCGAAACATGAGACGCAATCTCGCCATTTTCACTTTCACGTAAATTCTTGCTGTTATCGTAATCGTTAAAAAAGGGATAAAGCTCCATTGGTGTACAAAGAGGATACAATTTTTGTACAAACAGTTTTGTACGTCTTCGTCAACAAACCCTTACCGAACCTCGTTCTATTCTTCCACGCGAACTTGCTCTTTTCCAACTCCTTCCGTTCTTTTCTCTCTCCACGGGTTAAGACTTGCCTTCGTCCTCGAGTGGCCTAAGGAGCGCACACGTGGCATCCAGGTTCGCACGAGGACGAACGAATTTTCCGTTTCCACCACTTTCTCCACTTCTATCTTTATCTATCGCTACTCCTGTCTCCATGTCCTTACAATGTAAAAACACAGTACGCCTACACCTCCGGACAGTTTTTCCTTTACCAGCCATCGCGACGTACCCGCCGAACCGCTGCCGCAGGGACAATTAACGAATAAAACGATTGTATTTTCCGGGCAAATTGTACGCCGACCATAGCACTTAGAACTTAATGTGATCTCACACACCTCACGTGAAAATTGTGTCACACAGTGTATTCGTAAAAATTTCTCGAGAGAATTTTTTGAGGACGAGATAGATCCTACAGAGAAAGTTAATCAATTGAAAAGGCGATCTGCAGGATCAGGGAAATCAAAATTTTAATTATCCGAGAACCAGTGCAAAGATTAGTTAATTAAAATTGAAGTTAATCGATAGAATAGAGAAATATATTTAATTAAAATTGAAGTTAATCAGTAAAATAAAAATTAATTTATTTCAGAATTAATGCTAGAATTATGGATGATCGATGTATCTTTAGTTCCACCTGCATGGAAAAATAATTTACTCAAGTTTTACAAAATATATAGAATTTTTGATAGCAAAAGTGAGTAATTCCCATGAAAAATTATGCTCTAAGAATTTTCACTTGACAAAATCCTCAAAGACAAATATACCCTGATAACCCAAACCTACACCGACTAAAAACTTAGTAATTCCATTAAAATAAGCAATTTACAAAATATCTAGAATTTTTTGATAGCAAAAGTGCGTAATTCCCATGAAAAATTATGCTCTAAGAATTTTCACTTGACAAAATCCTCAAAGACAAATATACCCCAATAACCCAAACCTACGCTGAACCAAAAACTCAGTAACTCCATTAAAATAAGCAAAAACTCTACCAAAAATCTTCCACCCTTCCTATTATCACAAGCTACTCAAAGAAAAATTAACCTTAAACCAAAAAAAAAAAAGAAGACTGGAATATCCTCGAAGACGAGGATTAAAACGACAACAAGATGGTCTTTTCAAGCTGGAAATTATTATTTCATTGAAACTGAAGGTTTCACCCGACGACGCAGGCTTATTAAATTTTGAGTGGTCGGATTAACGGCGTGTCCTCGCCTTTCTCGTCTCCTAGCTAGAGGATAAGCGCCTATATTGTGCATGATAAATCGAGGGAAAACCGGGCACAAGGGTTCCGAAGGTTGAAAAGGAAGGAACGGTTCGAGGACCGTTCGAGGTTCCAAACGTTTTCACTGGGACGAAGAGCAGCGGCAATTAAGCACTAATTGCTACAATCGTACCGCCTCGACGTCTCGAAAAGAATCATTCTGAAAGACCACTTTCAACTCATCGAAATCACGGGGATTCCTCGATTGGCTCGCGATCGAACGAACCGTCGAGTGGAAGGGAACGGGTAGAATGAAAAGAATGGTGCATTCATTTTCGCGGGGATTCTCAATCAACCGGGCGAGGAAATCGGAATTCTTGCCGACTGTATAAACTATAAATATCGGTTGTGATCCGTGCGAGTAGAATTTCAGGAAAGATAGACCAGGTAGGCTTTTGCATAGACACGCATGACAGAACGTTTGGAAAATTCAAGTGATTATTTTACCATATATTACTTTGGAAATTTATACAATTTCAGATCAAACATTTCTATGCGAGTTTTAGGTTGAATATTTCGTAGCACGAGATTTTCAAGTTTCTCATTTCCCATAGTTTGGTCAAATTTTTCAATAATTTCGTTTGCTCAAGTTATGCGATTTTCAAATTTCTAATTTTTTTAATTTCTAAATAATTCTGTTTGTTCAAGTTTTTCATTAGGAGATTTTCAAGCTTTTCAGTTTCTATAATTTGGTAAGATTTTCAATGATTTCGTTTTCTCAGGTTTTCCATTTTTAAGATTTATAAATAATTTTGCTTGCTCGAGTTATGTGACTTTCAGGATTTCTAAATAATTTCGATTGCTCGAACTGTTCATTGTGAGATTTTCAAGCCCTTCATTTTCTATAATTTCCTAAGATTTTTAAGATTTTTCAATAATTTCGTTTGCTCAATTTACGCGAAGAATTGGAATGTTAAATAAAAGGTTGGCAATAACATATTGAAGCGTTGATAAAATTAAAAATTCATTTTTAGTTTATTCTAATCCTATTTTATTCTTTGTTACAAAAACGAACGCTAGGAAGGAAAGTGTCAGTTAGTATTAAACCTTAAATTAGTGTCAATTAACATGGCTCGAATATTATTTTTCTGTACTCTCTAGACAGAAACAGAGGAACACATGGACGTTAATTATTCCAAGAATTATGTCAATAAATTTGACGAAATTGGATAAGAGGATATCGTCGATATATTTAGTAAGGTAATTGGCACAAATGAACATCTATTTTCGCTTCTAGATAAGTAGTTAAGATGAGTGGTAAAAGTGGAACAGTCAGACATACCTGAAATATGAATTATACTCTGTTCAAAATAAGAGTAACCTCGCTTCGCGCATGGGGCGTGCCTAAGACAGGGCTAGAACCACTAGAACGTCCAAACCCCCACTTAACCGCCTACGTTTTCCTCCGTCTTACCCTCGCGTATCTGTCTATGCGCAGAACGGACGAGAATCGGCCCGAGAGCGAGGTTACTCTTATTTTGAACGACGTATAGTTTCAAAAATTTCGAAACTCTATATCGGGAGTGCTTGAAATACTCTTTAACGTATATTTCAATTCTTGTTGAAACGTCCAAAATACTAAATACTTTAATTCGCGATCAGGAAATATTTCTTGCACAAACTGTATTCGTGGATCCAAATATTCTCTGCCAAAATGTGCTTGAATATTTCTTAACAAAAAAAATATGTAATAAAATATAATATTCTCCTTTTCAATTTTTATAAATTTCAATGTATTTAAAAATCTGTATTGAATTTTTATAATTATAATTACGATTTATTAGAGTATCTATAAGTTTCATAACAAATACCTGAAATTTCGTCAAAAATTGTAGAAACTCCTCTATTTAGAAAAAAAAAAATACTAGCTCTGGTTTTTCGTCATTAGACTCTATTGAAACTCAAGTTCATTAAGCCTCATAAACAACCGAAGAAATAAACGAACAACCATAAAACAAGGAAAAAATATCTAACGACGAAAAGTGTCTAAAATTCTATTCTCACTCGTGAGTATCGCGCGAACGAACCACGATTTATTCTAAAAAAAAAAAAAAAAAAACGGGACGCCATAATTGCGCGATATTTAATGAAACCGCAGTTTTAATTTCAATAAATAAAGCGGGCATCGCGAAGCGTAGCGTCGCGGCGCCGCCCGTTGAATTAATGAGAACGCACGTGGACACGTTAATTAAAACAGATTGTCATTTTTCAATTTGCAACGGCCGCGTTTATTCCGCTGTTTCGAATTTATTTACTCTATTATCTTCGCTTGCCTGCATCGAAGAGCTTCACCGTTTGACGAACACCGAAAAAAAGAGGAGAAAAGGAGAAACAAAGGAAAAGAATAATAAAAGAAAACACGTATGTATGTTCTAGTTACTCGAAAAAATAAAAAAAAAAAACAAAAGCAGGGAAAAACAAAGAAATCAGGGACGCGGTGACGAATCGAGTGCGAAACTTTTATCGTCGCGCGCTTTCAACCTGTTCGCCTGGCGAACGAGAATCGATTTCACGAGCCGTATCGACAGTTCCTGCGCGTCCACGTCACGTTCTCTAGCTTTATTGCTC